CGCCCCCTCCCCATGGGCCGCCCCTCCCAGCCCGCGCCCCCAGCCCGCTGGGCGCCCGCGCTCACCTCGTTTTGGGCCGCCGCCGCGTTTCTCCTCTTCTGTCCAAAACCCGCCCGGAAAAGCCCCCCGAGCCGAGCCGCCTGCACGGGAAATTACATTTTGGCGGCTCCGGGGCTGGGCGGGGGCTCCCCTGGCCGCGAGCAGGGGGAGGGGGCCGCCGGGCTCCGGCGCCGACTCGAACCCGCGGCCGCCGCCTCCCGCCTGCCCGCCTGTCTGTCTCGGTGACGTGCCCGCGCTCCCCGCCGCCGCCGCCCCCTCCCTCCTCCCCGCGCCCTGCCGGGCGGTGGGTCCAGCCGCGGCCGTGTGCGCCCCGAGGCCTCCTGCCTGTCTCACCGGGACGCAAGCGGGGATGCCCGTGGGGCTCCAGGACGCAGCTCCCAGGCCCCTCTCAGGGGACATGGGGACACGGGGGCGCGAGCGGGCACACGCAGGAACCCAGATGCACGCAGACCTCAAAGGCGCACGGGGAGCACACGCGCACAAAGGCACGCGGACCGAAAACATAAGGAAGGCTGTTCAAGGGGCTTCAGGACACAAACGCACCGGAGGGAATGGTAGGACATGCAGGGGCACCCGCTATACGAGGATGTCCATAAAACCCAGCTACACACATAGGGACACCAGGGCCACACAGATACATGCAAGATACAGACACCACATCGAAGGGACAGGAGTGTCCTCAGAACTGAAACATAGTGCATAGAGAGGATCCCAGGGGCACACACAGAAAATACTGACACACACATATACTTGCTAGCAGGAATGGCCACAGAACACAAACACACAGAGACAAGCCCAGGGGCACACACAAGTTACACCAATACTCAGGTGTAAACACAGAACCGACATATCTCTCCAAGGTGCACAGCCTTGGGAAGACCCTGGCACACAACACCTCAGGGCACATGGATATACACAGACACAACACACAGATACATGCATAGAACAGAAGCATTCATTAGAGACATGTCAGTCACACAATCTTAGGGGCAAATACAGACACACAAACTCACAGACACACAAATATATGCGCAATCATTCATGCACA